GTTTGGGTGTAGAAACTAAGACCTAAAAAAGTTAGCAAATTGACCAGGATCATTTTGTTCTCTCTGGCCATAATAGCTGCTGCCTTTGTGCCTTTGTCTCTTGTTGGAATGCTGCACCTCTTAAGACATTCCAAAGCAACAATACTGGAGACCAGAAAAGAGAATTGTACCAACCTGAGAATGAAGCAAAATATCTTACGACAAGACATTCTACTTGTAAACATATTTAAAATCTCACCAGTGCCACCCTAGTCCAACCAAGTATGGTGCTTACCTGAACTATTGCAATAGCCTCCTAAATTGGCATTTTTGCTTCTACTTTTTGCTTGCACTCTCTATCTCCAGAGAGATCCTGAATCCAAATTTATCTTTTACAAACATAAATCCAGTTCTATTCTCCTTCAAGTCCTCCAGTAGTTTCTCTTTGCACTGAAAATGTAATCTAGACACTTTACGTTGTCCCACATAATCTAACTTCCTTGTTTTGGCTCTTTTTTTTTTTTTTCCTTTCAACACACTGTCCCTTGCACACTATACTCAAGATGTACCAGTCTTTGTCTTTCTCTGAACACACTACATTGCTTCATACTTCATGGCTTTTGCACTTTCTGCTTTTCCTATGACACAAAGCTTATTCTCTCCTGTGAGTCAAACATCAATTTTTAAGTAGACCTCCCTGATCATTCAGTCTGAAGAGGCTACCAACCACTTAATTCTCTGCAGAGCACCAGTCCTGACTTATTTTCTGCCTTTAAATTAGCTGTATGTTTGTCTGCAATTGAGCTTGCTTCATTAGAATGAAGCTTCAAGAGAAATGGTCTTGGTCTTCCTCATCATTGTACCCCAGGACAAGGCAAGAATAATTCTTGCCTTTATTGTTTTTGGAAAGAATGAATGGTGTTTTGTTTCTGTACACTGAAGACATTTTACTTGTTTTAATCATTCCTCAGAAGATGGAAATTTCTGCCCACTGGCATCCTGACTGATCCCTAAGAAGTAAGTATAACAAAAATGTAGTTTGCTAATTTTAACCTCAGATATTTGAAAGAACAGTAAAATGTTGCAGTGGAGCAATATGATCTTAAGAAAGAACTTAGAGTGTCACCAGCTACCAAGGTAACCATTAGTTGAAACATTTGGGAAGTCAATTTAAAATGTCTAAGATCAAGGGGTTCAGATTTGAGGTTAAATTTGAGTAATCATGAAGATGTGACTGAAGGAGAGCTTTTTAAAAATGAGCAAGGAAGATGTCAGATCTAGATGATCCACTTGAGTGGTTTGCTGGTTTTCACCTATTGTTTCTTTTAAAAGTATCCTTAGTTTTTCTTCCCAAAGAGGGTGTCTTTCCAATTTCCTAGGAAAGAGAAATTTCATAGGACTATAAAGTAAGAAGCATTTGATGAACTATGCCCTTAGTAAGAAAAATATTCTGCTTTGACCAACAAAATAGTATAAGAAGGTACCATGTCTACAGTAGGGTTTCTTTTATTGATATGAGTAAAAAAAAAAAACAAGAAAAGTATGACTATTTGGAGATGTTTAAAGAGCTCCAGGAAGCTGCCCAGGAATTCAGAAGCACCTTGCAATCTTAGCTAACAAGAGAATCTCAAGTTTTTTCAAATTTAGTATCTGAAATGGGAATACTTATCTGAATTATTCTGAACTTCTTTGCTTAAAAAATGTAATTTTGAAAAGATCTTTTCTTACAATATTTTTAATTAATAATTTTTGACAATGTTGCTTCCACATGGTCAAAAGCCATGATGTTTAAATAATTTGAAGACTCTAAGTTCTCATATAAACCTCAGTGTCAATTTGATCCTACAAGCTGTAAAGAGTTGGCTCATGCAACGCAATAGGTCTAAGCAATATTGAGTCAGAGACTTCGGCTGCATCTTTCATGAAAATACTCATAATGAGAACAGGGGAATTGTGGGCTATTTCTAAAGAGTTTTAAGGATAGGGTGACAGACATATGTTTGTGATTCTGTAGGGATTTATCTACTTAAATGTATCTACTTAAGATGGTCTGAACCCTTTCCACTATTCTAAAAGCTAGAAAAAAAGAAAAGAAATGTAAATTACTTGAATTCCCTTATAACACTAGAATTTTTTTTTTTTTAATAAAGGAACAAGACAAAACCTTGACATATAAGATGCCATTCAATAAAAGGGGAAATAAGGAAATCCAGAGAATATTATTTTTGAAATCTTTTTATACCTTATCCAAAACTGTCAATAATCAACCCAAAGTTGAATAAGGGATGTGTGTGTGATGGTGGAGAAGCGAATGACATGAGTGGTGTTCAGTGTTATCTAGTGTCCTGGATGGAAATAGAAAAAATAAACTTGAAAAACTGCCCATTGAACAATACTCCTACTCCCATTTATGATTAGTTTCTTCTAAATCTCTCCAGTCAGACATTTAAAACACATACACATTTCGTTCATTTTGATTCTCTCATCTCATCTACATTCTTGCCCTGAGGATCTCCAGTCTTTATGTTATCTGCTTTTGTGTCAATGCATCTCAGAATTGCCACACTAAGTCTCAACACTCACCTGATCATGTTCTCTGTAAGATCAAGTTTTCTAGCATCAGACAAACCCACTTTGCTGCCCAACCATTCTTTTATTGTTTTGCTAACTTCCACCCATCTTCCCCAATGGCTATTCAAGGTCTTCCCATTCACTTTCCCAAGTTTACCACATCTTTGCTTTCAGCAGAGGACCTAGGAAATATCTGCATGGAGAAACATGAACCTGTTCATGAGCAGAGTCAACTTTTCTTTAAAATCTTTTTATAGTCTCACCCATACTTTCTCAACTTGTTTCTTAGAATGAAGTGTATGTTTCTCAGGTTCATCCAGCATCCACTTCTTTGTGTCACCCACTATCTTGCAACATCAAGTATATTTTTATATTCACAGATTTTCATCTCTCCCTCAAGTTCAACTCATCTCTCATTATAAGCAAACCACTGTCTATCCTTCTGTCACATATAATGGGGTGACTCTGCTAGTACTTATAAGAGCAGCTTGTACACATCAGTGCCATGTCATCATTAATAAACATCTTTACCCCCAAATCTTGGTTTTATTCCTAATATACTACAAAAATTGCTCCCCCACTGGCCTTGTTTCAGACTTCAACCTCTTGGTAACATTTATCCTACAAAGCATCTAAGGAACTACCTCTTATTTCTTCCTTTAATGGACCCAGGGTGCTTTTTCATGGATTATCTTGGTCTGTGTTATTTTTCTACTGAATACAGATATTCACTAATGTTGAAGTTCTCTTCTCTCATTGTTATTTAAACTCAAGTTAACACTCTGTTAACAGATCTCCAAATTATTGTTATTATTCTTTTGCATTGGGTTTCTATGACATGAGCCTCACTTTCTTTCTTAAGATCAAGTCCCGTTGCCTACTAGAATGCACCACCTACAATCCCAGACTGTAGACCTAACTCAACACTGTTCCCAAATAAATTTACTATTTTCCTTTCCCAAATATCATCCAAACTTTCTAACTTCTGATAATTACATTCTCTATTTTTTTAAATACCATTTTACATGTGTGCTTAATATGTATAAAATGTATAAGGCAACATTTCTGGGAATCACATAGCAGATGAGTTGAATGAAATGCCTATCCTTTAGTATGTATACATTAGAGTGGGTAAATAGAGGTAAAAACCAATTCATAAAATCAGATCAATTTTGGTAACCCTAAGTGCTAAAATAAGAGCAAAGTGTTGTGAACTATTGAGGTTAGGCAGTGGGACAAGCACATCAGAAAAAGTGGCCACCAAAACCTCTTTGAGGAGATAGCATTTGAGCTGAGATGGGGAAAGGGAAAATGGCAGTCATGAAAATATCAAAAAAGAACTGAAGGAGCAGCAAGTACAAGAGCTTTAAATACACGTGTGCCTGTTTACCATCCTCCCACCTCGTTCTATTACTCCAACTTGTTAAATTTTGCAGGGATCTTAATTTTGACCTCTCTGGTCTCATTGTCTCCCAGTTTAAGCTCCCATTTCTTCCTGTTCTCCATCTATTTCCTGTCTGAGTGTATTCCTATCACAATAGTATTGGTCTTCTGAAGTGACACTCTACGATATCAGACTCTTTAAAAACATGGAGTGACTTCTTCTATCTGAACTAATAAAAAATAGGAAACCTAACTTTCAAATCTACTCATGGTATAGCCCAAACATATCTTCAAATTATTTTCTTTCAGAGTGCTGAATCTAATCCTTTCCAAATTAGTTTTCTAAACACACCTTAAACATCCCTGTTCCAGTGTTGTCTAGTCGTCTCCTCCAGTTGGACTGATGTTCACTCCTCACACCCAATCTAGGCCAGGGAGAGCTCTGCTAGTTCTCTTAGCCCTACCTCAAATCACCTTTTCCCTGGAGATCTTTCCGCTGTTTGTTTTAACCCACAAAGAATTCCATCCTTTTCTTTCAGCACGCAACATCTGTGTGGCTAGGCACACATCTGTCCTCTCTCTGCATTCCTTACTGTATTACAGATGTTTTGACAGTTTTGCAAGTGGCACATGCCCTCTATTCCACTAGTGTAGTGCCTCACACATAGTTTTCATTGCACGTTTTTGAGCACGAATGAATAAATCTGTCAAATCTGCATTTGGTTAACTAATCTTTAATTCATCAATCCCCCAAGTGGTTTCCCTTATCATCCCTGTTAATTGTTCTCAAGAGACTTAGATGTGAAAAGTCAGCAAGTAGAGAGGAAATACAAAGAGTTCCAGCTTTGAAATAATCAAGTTAGTTTCAAACTGGACAAATGCTTAAGAGTTTAATGAAAGGATATTTTAAAAGTGTTTTCTAATTTTTAAGTGCTTCCTAATCAGTATTGTGTGAGATAAATGACTTAGTAAAAGACTAGTTGATTGATTTCTTATCAGGATATATAGAGTCACATTACTCAGTGCTTAAAAACACATTATCACTATCAGAGAACCTCAATACTTACCACATTACTGCATGTTCTATATCTGATATTTCTTCCCTCACAGCTCCTAGATCACAAAAAAGAAAAAAATCTCATTACTACCTATGAAGATTTCACATTTTGAGCTATTGCCTTATAAAAATGTCCCTCCTTTCATCAATTTCCCCTTAATGCTACCATAATAACCTCTTTCCTTCTGATTGTGTTCTTAAGGACACTATCAAACACTTAATTCAACATACCTAAGACAGATATGCATATAAATTTCTTTGTCCATGGCAGTTGAAACCAAGCAGTCCTTTTGCTGGTGCTTACTTAAACAAACATTAAAGCAAAAATTTCTGAAAAATACTGATGTTAAATGAATCCTATCTTAATTATTCCTGGTATAAAACTGACGATGTATTTCATTGAAAAAAACATCTTGAATATGATAAAAACTGTACTTATTACTCAACATGTCTTTTTAAAATTATAGATCCAAGGTATGAAAAATTTACATAATTAAAGAATTATGTCCATTTCTAATGAATAAATGCTCAGTGTAGTGGTTTCAGGAAAGGTTACCAAATAGAAAAAAGTCCCCCGTAATTATCTCATCTAAAAAACAATCACTATCATTTTAACTGATTTCTTTTCAAAAACTCTTAATTTTAATACCTCAACTCTGCTGAAAAAGGAGATATTTCCTCCTACTATAAAATAACTGTAAATATATAATTTTGAGAGCTACATAATATTCCATAACAGCATAACTGTATAACATTTTTCTCATTATTAATCACTGAAGTAATTTCTAGTTTGGGAGTTGATATATGTCCATTCATACATTTTATCCAAGTTTCTGACTATCTTTAGGATAAATTTCTGCAAAGGGAATTACAGGACTAAAGGGAATGAACTTTATAAAGCTCTTGATAAATATTACCAAACTGCATTCCATTAAGATTGTACCATTATGTACTCCCACTAGCAACACATGGGAGTTTCCATTAATACTGAACTCTTGTGAACAAAAACAATTAAGTTTTGATTAAACATGCACTGACGACACAAGTACTCTCCTCTATTCAAAATAAGTTACACTTTTTAAAAGCAAGTAAAAATCTATGAAATTTGATTGATTATACTAATACTGAATAGTTATGGAATTTTATTGTAGGTAATTTTCTAAGCTTGTTACATGTACTAACTTATTGAATCTTCTTAAAAACTCTGGAAGACAGGATACTATCATAACATCCGTTTTACAGCTCAGAAAACTGAAGCATAGGGAGAGTAAATTTCCAACATAACACAACTATTAAGTAGTAGAGTTAATATTTGAAGCCAGGTGAGCTGTCTACTACAGAATTTTATACGCAGAACCATAATGATTTCCTGCCTCCTAGTTCATGTCCTTATTCAGCAACTATCCATCAAGTTCCCATCATAAGCTGGGCAATGCTTTTACTTGTAGGAATATAAAGAAAAATGAAGATGACTTATTTAATATTAGGAAAATCACTCTTATCACTCAGCAACAGTTATGCTTGCTAATATTTAAGAATGTCATTCAAAAGAAAACACCATCTGCAAACACAATCACACAAAGGTTATCTTAATGAAGTAGAAAAGTCTCAAGTCTGAAGACTTGACTTTAACATCATTGACTGCTTGAATATGCATTAATAACAGACTGTAGCAAGGGAAAGAAAGGGCTGGCCAGGAATCAGCTTCATGGTAAAAGTAGAATGACAGAGATATATGGCTGTCAGTGCCCAGCCCAGCAATGTTCCAGGCAAAGGGCCATTGGCAAGGTATTTGCTGTCGTGCTATAGATGCCTCATGCTAACCCAGTTGATGCCAAAGAATGTTTTGCTCATCCCAGGAATACCCCTTGTTATGATGCCACGTTAGCCAAGAAATTTGCCAAGGGTGATCTATTTTTTTCATGATTGTTGTGAGGCAGAATGTGCGGAGTGGGCTGACATGGGTATTCTGGTTCATGGGATACACAGTACCATTGTTCAGTGTGAGTTAACTGGCATTCCATTTGAAAACATTAATTTCATGGGACAAATCACTGTGAGCATACTTCCAAGAGCATAACCCCTTCTTGGTGTAATTGCTAAAAAAATCAGGTTTCTGAGTCTAAAGATGACAGGCTAGAGTAGACAGTCTTTTGGGATGTTGTGAAGGTTAACCAAGTAAGATTTGTGAAACACTTCTAACAGTTCCTAGCCCACAGTGAGCATTCTGAAGCACTTGGTAAATTATTTTTAATCAAGTGTATAACAAAGGTAAAAACTGCATAAGGATGTGTGAAGGAGACAGCAGGCAAAGGCACTGAGGTTTGAAAAGACGATATGTTTACAAATTTTCAAACAATTTTGTTTGGTTGAAACCTTGGGTTTAAGAATTGGGAGAAATCTACCCTAATTTTGAAATTTGCAAAGGCAAAGGGGAGTCACTGAAGATTTTAAAGCATAGGAGATACAATGACTTCAGCTTTTGAAAAGTGTTAATCATTAAAACCTAAAAACTGTGTTTTCCACGTAATTTTATTTTAACTATAACTCCCTAAAGGAGCAATGGAAATAATTCTAAATTAGGAGTTTAAAGATCTGGTTCAGAGACTATGCTCATTTCTTTGTATGAGCCTCTTATCCTTTCCAAGGTCTTAAGTTTCCTCATCTGTCAAATGGATATAGAAAATGCCAGTACATAAAGTCAAGACCATTAACTGTGATAACTTACAAAATCTCTGTTCAAATGCCAAAGGGTTAGAGATATAATTTACTAAAATTAACAATGTAGAAAAATACCTACTTTGATAATCTAAATATTTTTACCAGATATTTTGAACTATAAATACATATATGGTTTTAAAAGCATCTTTGGATATTACGGCATAAAAGCGTATCATGTAAAAGATGACTTAAAAGCATATTTAGCAAATACAAAGAAAAAACAAACCAAAGAAACTCACAGCAATGAAAAAAAGAAAAAGAAAAAACATTTGTTACAATATCCAAAGAATATTTTGGAATTGTCTAATACCCAATACAGCAATGCAAATAATAATACAATTTACTTATATTCATGAAATAAATCTATGTTGTATAGATTGTGTATTACTATATTGTATTGCTTATTTTTAGTGAAAGCTTGATTGACAGAAATATGATATTAAAGTGGTAATGTTTTAGATTTCAAAAGTTCTCATTATTGAGAAACAACTATCAAATTTTGAATATAGTAATACTAGCCTTTATTGAGTTTGCTATGGGTATCTGATCCAGTATTAAGTATTCTATGTAGGTTATCTCTAACCTTTCCACAACTCCACAAGATTTTATTAGTCCCACTTCAGAGATTAAAAAACAGAGGATGAGAAAGATTGGGTGACTTAAAGTCAAATACATAGAGAGAAACTAGGACTGGAACCCAAATTTTCTAACTGCAAAGCATAAAAAAATAAAATAAAAAGATGAACAAGATGTCTCAAAATGTGTGAAATATTAGCACCAGGTTAAATGTGGGAAGCTGAGCAGGGAGCTGGCTTGGGGGTTAACTGCATCTTCTTATTACATCAATATATCAGTTGCTTCTCAATTCTGGTAAATCCACTTGTCGTGAGTCAAAGATACCTAGATCCACATTGTACATTTGGAACTTCTCCAAGAGAACCATGCTCGTCAGTAAAATGTAATGTGAAAGCACTTCAGTGCAGAGAAGTTTATATATTTTTTTTAAAGTTCAAATTTATTAAATCTGAATATAAATTCTACTAAAGTAATGAAGTTGCTATTCCACCACAAGGATTTGATTCTTGCCAAGTGTGAAGTTCCTCATCCAAGGCATTTATCTGGGCACACAAGTCTCATCTGAGAATTAAGCAGTAAAAAATATTTTCTTCTCTCGCTTTTAAAATAGTTTGTTAATATAAAACAGCTGAAGGGTTTCCTTCACATTTAAACAAAATAAAATTTACTCTGGGAATGAAAACCAACATGAGAAATTTCAACCCAAAATGGTTTGAGTAAAGTGACAGACCGCTGATAACAGGACTTAAGTAAATGCATCCTTTTGACACAAACTATAAAATAGTTACAGAACTGTGTTTAGAGAAATAAATACTGTACCAATTAAGGACTTGGTAATTGGTTCAAGAATGAAATAACAAATGTAAATATTAAGAATTTTCCCAAGTCAAATCTGCACAGAAAGTTCCATATTTGTTTATTCCAGTACTTTTCTCCTCGTCAGTCACTTACTAATTTTGACTTAATTCCTTATCTTAAAAATGGAAACCACCTCAATCATAAGCTTTTATTTGTGAATTATTCAGACTTTAATTCACTTATAATGAGATTAGTACAGGCCGGAGGCATATTTTATTGGTCTCTCATCAACACATAACAAACGGTTCCAATTCTTACAATCCTGATGTTATCATAGTTTCAATTATCATAATTTAACAACCTTAGAAGAGATGAATTACTATGGAAAATTAAAAGCTCTCTTTCCAGGCTTTAGCAATTTGTTACTTTCCCTTCCCTTCCCCACCCTGTTTATATAAATTAAAAATTAAACCTTTAAAAGAAGAAGACAGCATCTTTGCTTTACCTTTCCTTAAAAATATAAAAATCGGATAAAACACATCAATTCTTACTTTAAAATTTTTTCTCATTCCCTCTTTGAAAAAACAGATCCTGGTGATACACCAGGCTCATCTTTGGTGTCAGTGAACAGTTTCAAGAAAATCTGATAATTGTATATTTAAAACTCCAACCAAACCAAAACAAACCCAACACATCTGGCTGTAGAGCTGAGGCTACCAGATGAGGAGTGTTAGGGAGGAAAGAATAGAAACCCAAGGTGGCATCACAAGGCTGATCCCAAAGCACAAGACCCAAGCAGGTATCAGACTGCTGTAGGGACTGTCTAGGACTCAGACCCAAAGGTAATGATGTGGAGATTGAGCCCATTGTGGACTCCTCTGTCCCTTTCAGACTCTACATAGTTTATTCAAAACAACAAACCTAGACTCACAGGGAGTGAGCCCCTCCCACAGAGAAGTCT